GGCGTCCCTTGCACCTGCGGCTCCGGGGAAGCAAACGGTACCTGCCCGCCCGACCCCGGCCCGGCCCGGCCCTGCTTTTCGCGGCTTTAGGGGAGGGAGGTGCCTGGGTTTGGAAACCAGCCCCTCGAGGTCGTCTCTCCCATCCAGGCCCAATTTGGTTACTCCCGTTGTCCCCATTAGCGCCCCGAAAACCCGGGGACCCTCATCTAGAGTGACACCAGCCACTGCAGCCGAGGGGGTGGGGGGGCGGTGCCCAGCCTTCCCGACCTGCGGGATCATTTGGGGATTTAGGGACTGGGCCCACGTGGGCACTGTATGGGGGTAGGTCCACTCCAATAGAAAAGAAGGGTCAGCTGCCATCAGATTGGAAATTACCTGTACTGACCAGGTGAGCTTGGTCTTTGATTTTTTTATTGATTTCAGAGAGGAACATCAAAGATGAGAGAGAACCATTGATCGGCCTCCTGCTCGCCCCCCCACTGTGATAGAGCCGGAAACCCGGGCTTGTGCCCTTGACCGGAATCGAACCCCGGACCCTTCAGTCCGCAGGTCGAGGCTCTATCCACGGAGCCAAACGGGCTAGGGCTGAACTCAGTCTTGAGTTAGAATTCTGTAATAGAAACCATCACTTTTTTTGGAAATTTTCCTTGGTAATTGAGGAGCAGGATTTACTAATGTTTGTTAATTGTATGGTCCTTAAGTCAGCCTGTTTAGGGTATTTTTTGCCATTGGTTCAATAGAATGAGTCAGATTTTAAATTCTTTTTTTACATCTTGAGCTGTGCTTCTTACTGCTTTCTTACCGAAAAGAGTAGATGAAATAGCAAGGCCTCCCTCCCTTCAGGTTGGTGTGTGACATTTGATTGGTTGGTTTACTGAAATGTGTGAAAATGTACTTCTCTTAAATCCATCCTTGAGCTAGCAAAGTCTGAAATGGATTGATTCAGAAATTGTCTCAGGAAATGTCTACTTTTTCAACTATAGCTACTTGTTCATTTATTACTGGTCAGGGATTTTTGTCTGAAGTTGTGAGCAGATCAGATTTTCATGAAAGTTTAAAACTTTCCATTGCTTTTCTTAGGAAGGGGGGGTGGGGAGAGAAACATCGATGTGAGAGACACATCGACTGATTGCCTCCTGCATGCAGCCCAACAGATCGAACCTACAACGGTGGTCAGCAGGCTGGGACCTGAGGGGCTGTGATGGTGACGGGGCAGGTGGAAGGCAGGGGTCTCGGCACCCAGGATGCATCCCTGTTCACCTGACCCCCAGTTTTATATGGCTGCTCACCCTGAGCTCGGCTGTGTGCAGTGTATTTCAATTCAGGGGTCACTGTCTGCCTTCTCCAGAGAACAGATTCCAGGCTTTTTCTTGCTCAGGAGGTAGGGGGCCTGGGTCAGACCGCCTCTTAGACTCACTGCACAAACCCTCTGCAGTTTAGCTTCACGCTCAACTCCGCTCACAGGAGTAACTTTGTGTCAGTTCCTTAGGGTTGGGGTGATTTTGTAAATCAAAATTTTCTTTGCTTTCCTTGTGCCAGCTTAATGCTCACTCTTCTTGAGTCTGCTTGGTTTTCATCGCCGTTGTCTGTTCCTGTTTTCTCCATTCCACTTGGTTTTGTTCGTTTTTTTGCCTTTGAAAACTCTGTTATTGATACAGGGAGGTTCTTAGGGAGAGAAAGTAGAGTTCATGTGTTCAAATCTGTCATTCTTACCCAGAACTCCAAAACAGCAATTTTAATTTTTTAAAAAAATTTCCTTTTGCCCAGCCAGGGTGGCTCAGTGGTTGAGCATCAACCTATGAACCAGGAGGTCACAGTTCGATTCCAGTCAAGGCACGTGCCGGGGTTGTGGGCTCAATCCCCAGTGTGGGGCGTGTAGGAGACAGCCGATCAATGATTCTCTCTCATCATTTATGTTCTATTTCTCCCTCTCCCTTCCTTTCTCTCTAAAAAATCCATTAAAATTATTATACTCCCTTTCTACTCTTTTAAAAAATGTTTTTATTTTAGAGAGAGAGAAACAGAAACATCCATGAGAGAGAAACATCGATTGCCTACCTCCTGCACTCCTCCCCACCCCCCCCACTGGATGTCAAGCCTGCAACCTGGGCATGTGCCTGATTGGGGCTTTTATTTTGGACCCCCTCCTAATTAGAGAAGACAGCATTTGATAATAGTGGCAAAACTTTAAGGTCTAGTATTGTTAAGAAACACGTAAAATTTGCCAACTAATTTTTCTTTTAACTTTATAACAGGCCCAAGTCTGTTTTGGTGGTCTGAGGAAAAAAAAGAAGAGCTTCTCAAGTTTTGGGAAAACTATATTTTAGTAATGGAAACTCTAGAAGGAAATCAGGTAAGTGTTAACATATTTTAACAAATCCCATGTAGATCCAGCTCTCTCCTCTGCCCCCTCCTCAAACATTCTGTAAAAGCAATACAGAAAGACCAACTTGGATATAGTGTGTCTTATTTTCTGGCATAAATGCAATTTAAAATGGGATGTCAACCCAGAAAATTAAAGAATACTTTCAGTTGACTTAACTTAGCATTCAGAGAATTTAGTCTTATTCGATCCTCCCTGACACTTCTGAAGTGTTCATTCCTTGACATTATGAATAATCTCCAAAGAAATACACACTTAGGAAAATTTTACTTAAAGCTATTCTGAGGTAAATGGTTATTCGGTAAATAATTGCCTTTTAATTTTGTAGGCGTTTTTTCTTTTTTAATTGTTATATCTGTGCCAACCGGGTCCTAAGGATGGAAACTTGAAAAATCATTGTCAGTGGACTTCAAATCAGTTTTCATAGAATCAAAGTTTTTAAGTTGAGCAGAATCTCCTAAGATGACCTAATCTGGTGCAGTGGTTCTCAAACTTCAACATTCATTCGAATCCCCCTCGTGGCTTGTTAGAGTATAAATAGCTGGGCCCGCTCCCCAGTTCCTGATTCAGTAGGTCTGAGGTCGCCCCGAGAATTTGAATACTTTATCAGATCCCAGGAGACACCCCTGCCGCTGCTCTGGGGACCACACTTGGGAACCCTGGTCTAGGGGTTCCCCGTCTGTGAGCTGCAGACCATAGGGGGGCAGCCAGCGGTGGAGTCGCCCAGGCCTCCGCCCACATGCACTGTGGACTGAATTAAAGGATGAGGAATACAGAAAGAGCATTTCTAAATTCAAATAAACTTTTCTGGTTTTCCTTAGTCAGTAGATCCATAATACCCCCACTGTTTCTTTAGAAACTGGTTTATGTATATTTGGAAGATAAATTAGACTAGAACCTACAACACAGGCTAAGCACGAAGAACATTGAACTGGCTTGACTTCTAAATGTGTGGCCTTGAGCAACTCGAGTGACTAGAGAATGTATCTCAATGTTTTTTCCTCTTTCACTGTTTCTTTAGAAACTGATTTATGTATATTTGGAAGATAAATAAATTAGAATGGAACCTGCAACACAGGCTAAGCACGAAGAACATTGAACTGGCTTGACTTCTAAATGTGTGGCCTTGAGCAACTCGAGTGACTAGAGAATGTATCTCAATGTTTTTTCCTCTTTGTAATATACACGTATGACCAGCCCTGTTTCTCAGGACAGTTGAGGATTTCGTGACATAATGTATGATATTCACTGTCCATATGCAAATTGCTGTCACTATATTCTAGGTTACAATCATTAGCTTTGTCACACTCACTCTTACATACTTGAATTTTTATTACTTAAAAACTGGAAGAATTAGGCATCTGCTTATTTTTTACATAGGGGTGGAGAACAGAAGGGCTGCTGTTATGTAAATAGATTAAAATTCCTGTAAGATTTTAAAGGCAGATTTTCATTTCGTGTGCCTTTTTGCTTTTGTTTTCAGATACATGTGATAAAGCCAGTTTTGCCAAAGCTAAACAGCCTGTTTGAATATGCGGTGTCAGAGGAAACCGGTAATGGTTACTTTTAGTTTGATTTCTTAATAACATTTGTCGTTTTTCCCCTTTGATGTTATAACTAGCGCTTGCTCATTATAGAGAATTGGGAAAAACCACAAAAGTGTAAAGAAGAAGGTGAGAATCTGCTACTAACATTGCATAGCGTATCTTCTGCACTGATGGTAACATTTTCTTCTCACTTAGCAGTCTATCCAAATGCATCTGCATATCTCCTTAGGTCAGCGGTTCTCAACCTGTGGGTCGTGACCCCTTTGGGGGTCGAACGACCCTTTCACAGGGGTCGCCTAAGACCATCGGAAAACACATATATAATTACATATTGTTTTTGTGATTAATCACTATGCTTTAATTATATTCAATTTGTAACAATGAAATTGGGGGTCACCACAACATGAGGAACTGTATTAAAGGGTCGCGGCATTAGGAAGGTTGAGAACCGCTGCCTTAGGTAGTCTGAGAATATGGTTTTTAAATGGCGGCAGAGTTTCCTGTGATTTAGAGACACGGGCAATTCTCTAAACACTTGATGACGGAAGACGTCTGACGTTTACAGGAGAAGAGTTTGCATGATGAACCCATCACCCAGCCTCCACTGTGGCCAGCCTGTGGCCTGTCTCAGGTGCAGCCTCTCCAGCCCCTCCCACATCCACAGGCAACCTCCCCAGCAGCAGATCTGTGCTCTGCAGTTGTCAGCAGATATCCCTAAAAGAGAAGGATTCTGGGCATGTTTTAATGATGCTGTATTCTACATTTTAAATAGTATCTCTTTGTTATTATATATTTTAACTGCTTTCCATTCTTATTCTCTAAATATATCTGTGTCATTGTTTGTTAGTTACTGTTTAGGGGTTTCAGTTCTATATCTTGGACTTCTCAGGAACAGAAAATTCCAAGATATAATTTCAAATATGGTGTTTAAGCCTTGAATACTCTATTATGAGAGCTTTCTAGGAGAAATAAAATGAAGCTAGAGCTTCCTTTAGTATTTTATGAAGTTACGTTTAGATCAGTGAAATGCTAACTGTTTTAATGATGAAATTCTGCATTACCGTGTTCACACAGAATTAACCTATGTAAAGAGTTTAGTGCCTACTCTAGAACGTTACAACTTTAATAGATTTCCTTGGGAATTGAGCTTTATTGAGCTGATTGCTATAGTTTCCTGAGATACTGGATTTTTCACAGACTGAGAATCCATTGTCTTGCTTGGGGCTAGCATATAATTGAATGCTGTTGTGATTTCACTTAGACATTTACTATTAAAATGATTCTCTTATTACTATGTTTTGCCCAGAGCTCTTGGCAAACTAAATTAAATAGCAATGACAGGTTTTGAAAAATCACCATTGTCAAAGTATCTTGGTGTAAATTACAAATAATGGACCGATTTATTTATAGAATGCCATGAGTTAAAAATGCTGAATTTTTTCCTAACAGAATTTAAGGATATGTCAAAAGAGTCACTATCTCTAAAGTACATATTCATCTCATTTTCCCCCTCACTCAATTAGAAGTTTACTTAGTAGTGTCCGATTTATGCTAAGGACTTGGATAAAGGGGTGCATCAGATGTACTATTTTTTACTTGATTTTTGTCCGTTTTCCATGAGAAAATAATTTTGATTATAAGTTCCATGGATGGGATTAAACACAAACTCACTTCTGTGGAGTTGGGAGGAAGTTATGTGCCGAGAGGGTATTTGTTGATGACTGTATAGCCTACGTGGACCAGCAAAGCGTGGGCCCAGTGTCACCCCAAGATTCTCCCGCAGGACGGTGGCTCCTGCACCCCTCCTGGCACCTGTGTGTTTACAAAAGGATGTTGGAAAGCGAGAACAAAATCCTGGCCAAGGAAGGGGTTACCCATTTCTTGCAGCTCTACGAAACGAAGGTGCTTCCGTTTTCACCGGAGCTTTCGGAGGTAACGACAGCCTTTCCTTCCCAGTTCTCTCTTACGTGCTATAGTGTTGGACGTGCCTCAGTTTCCCCCTCCCCCAGCCCCTGCACTTCCTGTTAGCTTGTGTTTTTGACCAATATCTAGTAACACATTTTTATTATATTTTTGAAAATATAATCCCCTCCCCCCAGATTCCAGGCATAGGGGCTTAAATTTTCTCTTGGGTATCTTTCCATGTTTCCTTTGTTACTCTATTTCCACCATGTGTTTCTGTTTTGGGTTCCCTTTCTTCCTTCTTGACCCAACGTGAACTCTCTCTTTTATACATTTTTATCAGGTGAGAAAATTCTCAACTTACTTTGAGACCCTCCAAGATTGTCTGTCATAAGTTAACCTACAGCGCAAGAGGTCAGCTGTGCTTAGGACGGCTCTTCGGCACCCTGGGTAGATGTGCAGCTAAGGCAAGCTCACTTCCAAGTTATGGTTGCAACTTAACATCAGATACTTTTCTTTTTAGTTTATTATTGGACCATTAATGGACGCACTTTCAGAGAGCTCTCTCTATGGCAGGTAAACACATACGATGTTATTTAGCAGCAATGCGGTAATATGTATTTGATAAGTAACTTTAACGTGTTCATGCAAAATGACCAGATTGGTTCATGCATTTGGCACATAATGTATGTTGCCTAATAGACATTCCACTTTCTCTTATCCTGTCGCCTCTCCTGTTTGCTGTTCTTCTTGCCTTTCTTCTGCTGTTGTATCAAGCGCTGCTCCTCTTCTCTTTCCTGGTTTCCTTTCCTCCCTGAGCCCTTCCATCCTGGGTTTGGGAAGGTATGTCTTACACAACCTCCTTTCTCACCTCCGTTCTCCCTCCTCTCTGCCCTCTTGGACATTGTAGTGACTGGCTAACCAACACTTTAAACTTTTTTTTAAAACTTTTTATTGTGACTTAAAAGTCCTGAGAATAATACAAAGAATCCCACCTACCTTTCATCTACATTCCCCAGATGTTAACGTTTTACCACATTTGCTCAATCTCTCTCTCTCCCTGTGTGTGCGCATCTGTTTCTCAGTTCTGTCTGCTGAGCAGACTTGCCCACCTCTATCTAGTTCAGTGTCTGTCTGTCTGTCCACCCACCGCATTAAAAACCAGGGGTTCGCACCAACCCGTCCAGTTCCAGTCCGTCCCACAGGCTTCGTTCTCACCTCCTCTTCCACGTCTGGTGCGGCAGCCGTTGCCGGACACTGGCCACCTGTAGCCTTTGGGAAAGGTGGGCGTGTGCAGCGTGTCCGTGTTGTGCCTTACCCTGTGTGTTGAGCATCATCTATATCCTTGAATTATATCTTCAAAAACTTCCCTTGCTTTTGAAATTGTGTCTTTCTAATTTAGTCTAAGTTCATGCTTGCAAGTCTTCCACGTGGTACACCTCTAAACAGGAAAAAACCTCCCACCGCCAATTTCTTTAAAAAGTTTAACTTAGTGCTAAGTTATATTAGTATTTAGTCCCATTTGATAAATATCGAAGGAGGATAGCAATGCTTGACTTGCCAATTACTTTTAGTTTTCAAATAATTCATGACTGACTAGTTGTCGGAAGCGATTAGACAGCCGGGGAGCAGGAAAGCCAGCCTTTCTAAAGCCACAGACACAGCTACGACGAGAGACCCGTTCTCTAGCGCTCTGTTCAGTTAGCAGGTGACGTTTCTGGAAGAACCATGTAGTGAGAAAAGGTGACTTTAGTAGATGTTTACAAACAAGTGCTCTTGAAAAGTAACTTATTCCTAACATGTCTTTCTTTAATACCCAAAGACTTAAAAGCCTTGGATCATATATTGGAAGTAATAAAATGTCATTTTAAATGATCATATTTAGACTTTTTACAAAGTGATACTACTTAGCAAGTTCCATACATTTGTGTCAGGGAAAGTGTCATGAAGAGGGAGTCCATGCCTACTTAGCACAGCATGTTACTAACCCAGGTCCATTTCCCTTAGAAGGTCCTGGTGTTTTGTAATCAGAAGGGTCCTCAGCATTTTACTGAAAAATAAAAAGTAGGTTCAGAAATAAAAGATGGTCTCATTGTTTTATTAAAAGAACTTTGGGCCACAGTCCATTTAGTTTCCATGATGCTCATTTGTAAATACATTTTAAATGTGTGTCTCCTCTCTGTCTAGGTCGCCGGGCCAGCAGATAGGAAGTGGGTCTCCACTGGGATTGAAACTACAGAGATTTTTAGCTGCTTATGTTTCTCTTCTTCCAGAAGAACTAAAGAGTATGTGCAGTAAATGTTTTCTTTTTTTAATGTGTTACCTTTAAGGATTTATTTATTTCAGTATATTGGTTATAAGCACCATCCTATGACGGTTATACTCAGTATTATCAAAATCGTTTCCTTTTTCGAGGGTATGCAAATTGTCAGGCTTATGCAGGTGTGCGCGGTCACTAGGCACACGTCCCTACGTGACTGACCCCAGTGTTGGCGTGAGCCCATGGCGGGGACGTCAGAAGTGGTGTGGCCATGTGCCCTCTTTTCTACTTGTTTCTATTGACTTTCAAAAATCAGTAAAATGGGCGGAAGGAAGAAAGAACCAGGCTTTAGGGAAAAGGTGCAAACAGAATATCCGTGTGGTGAAGCCCCTTCATAGCCGTTGACTTAGGAAAGCAGAAAGAGAAATGCACTTGCCTTTTGGAAGACTTTGTGCCCCAGGTCACGAATGGAAAGCACTGTTTATGCAAAAACGTGTATGTGAATATTCCTGGTTATTGCCGGTCCTTTGAAGACAGCTGACTTGTGGGTGTGAAGTTCATCGCGTTAGGGTGTTTGAATTGCTTTTCTTACCTAATGGCTAATGATGTTGAGCGTGCGGTCACGTGCTGTTGGCAACGATGATATTTAAAACTTTTTCTTTCAGGTAGTTTTTTGTTAAAATTGATTCAGAAGATGTCGAGTAGACATTGGTGTGCTGTTCCCATTTTGTTTCTGTCTAAGGCTTTGGCCAGTGTCCCAAGATGCAAAGCCCTGGGTCTGGAAGGCCTCCTGGCCCTCAGGTACTGGGTCTGGGTGCTCACATGGGGGGCTGGTGCTTCCTGTTAACCTGGGGATGGTTTTCCCATTGATTTTTAGGGAGAGAGGGAGGGAGGGAGGAAGTGGGAGAGAGAGAGATTGAGAAAGAAACATTGATGTGAGAGGTGCATCTGTTGGTTTCCTCTCACACCCGCCCTGACCGGGCCTGAGGATCAAACCTGCAACCCAGGTTTGTGCCCTTGACTGGGAATCGAACCTGTGGCCCTTTGGTGGGTGGGGTGGCTCTAACCACTGGGAACACCAGCCCAGGCTCTAGCAAATGGTTTTAGTTAATATTCACATTAGGATGTTTGAGCTCTTAATTTTATTAAAAAAAATTTTAATTGAACTTATTGTTTTATGAATTACTAATTTAAGTATGTGCCATAATGCATGCTATAACCACTTTAAAATAAGGCCAGTAGGTTTTTTTATTACATTGACGTGTAGGAAACTAGACTACAAAGTATTTTTTTAAAAAAATGTAAAATTCTTGTTTTAAAGGGTCTTCATTTCTGGTCTCATTGTTTTTAAAAGAGATGTGTTTGCTACTGAAATGGAGCTCTATTAGTGACGTTACTGGGGAGTGCATAGTGGTAGCTGTTACACCAGCCTGTCAGCAACAGCTGACTGCAGCGTCTGTGGATGTGGGGTGAACTCTGTTGTCGTGTCAGGGGCGTCCTCCAGTGCACCATGGCCACACACCAGATCCTGCTGCGCGGGGCCGCCCAGTGCCATCTGCTCCACGCGGCCATGAACCTGGTCGACGTGGTAAGTGCATCTCCTTTACGTGTGTGCACGTCTTTCCGAGCGGGTGGGTGTGCAGAAGTGGACGTAGCAGGCCTGCGAGCCCTGTTTGTTTCACGGTCGGCCCCTGGCTGACACCGGGAACGTGTACTTGGAGAGGGCTCGCTCTCCGACCAATGAGAGCGGCTCTCTGCCTGCAGTGCTCCCACAAACCACGTGGCCTGTCCTGACAGCTGCCTCCGGGCGCCTGGAGTGCGGGCAGTGGCTCTGCCCAGTGTCTTGTATCAGGGACACCCGGGTCTCAGGAGCCTCCCCGGGAGGAGTTTGCATGTCGCTGGGAACTGAGACGTCGGGGGCTCCCCTGGCAGAGGACGCTCAGGCGCTGTCCCTGTCTCCCCTCCTTCCCCACACGTCTCCCAGGGAATCGACGTCAGGGATGTGTCCTGTCTTTAGTGTTTTTTTACGGAGCCCCCATAATACCGTGGTTGTGACGGGGGACCAGTATATATTTAAGGCTCTGCGAGTCATACGGTCTCTGGCACAACCACTCAAAAGCAGCCATAGACAGTTGGTGAGTGGATGAATGTGGCTGTGCTCAATAAAACTTTATTTACAAAACAGGCTGTGGGTGGCTTTGCGGGCCCCTGGCCTAGAGCAAGGGGCCTTAGTTCAAGACTCACAACCTTCAGGGAGTAAAAGCCTGAGGTAGCTTTAAGCCAGGGGTCATTTTTTAGCTTTGAAAAGTAAGAATCACTTTTGGTTTAAGTAATAAGTAATTTCTTGTAGGAAGTTTTTGTTTTTAGGTAGTGACCATCTTGTCTGTGAGATAGTAACCTTGATTTTAAGGAAAATACATTTATAAAACAATCTTTTATTTTACATAATGGGTTGGTTGTAATCAATATCTTCATTTCAGAAGTCGGATAATATTTTCTTTTTAAAAAATAGGGTTTTTTTTAAAGATTTCACTAATGTACTTTAAATAGTATACTAAGTTGCTTTTACGGTGGTTTTCTTTTATTCAATTAAAAGATTTAAAGTGAGTAACTATTAAAAACACGTCTGTCCCCCCGCCCCCCCAGGAGGAAGTGTCGCTGTCCGACATCTCCGCGTTTCTCACGTCTCTGAGACAGGAGGAGTCCCTGGGCCGGGGAACGGCACTGTGGACAGAGGTGAGATGGGACGGGTCTGATGACAAGGCCTCTGAAATCTTACAAACATGTTTGCTAGTTGACCCATCACTAGCCAGTGTGAGAGGAACATAAAGTGCCTGCTGCGGAGAGAGCAGTACTGGCTGGCCTCACTGCTAGACGGTCTCTGCTTGCTAAAGACCCACACGCGCGGCCTCCTTCATGGGCTGAGCGGCTCCCTCATTGGCCCCTCTGGGGGGTCAGTGTTAGTCTCAACTGATTTATTCACTCATCAGCTTTGTCCTTGGTCAGGTGGGGTATTCTTAGTTTCATCATTATTATGTCTCCGTACATGTATCTGGGGTTACCTTAATGGACTCAAAAACTATTTTTTTTTAAATTCTTACCTTTTAGAAAGACCTAGTTATTTACTTTATATTTAACTTCATGTATGCATTTGCACATTAAGATATATCGGAAAAAGAAAGTTGAGAACATAGATTTCACAGTTACATATGATGAAAGAGGAATTCTGGGAAGTTCTGTGACTTAATTTTGCAAATCTTCTAAAAGGTGTAATGGAGAAGGGCTAGGAGAGAATTTAATTTCTCTTTTAAATTAATGTATTTTAAAATGCACATAGGATAGAAAATAAACTTGTGAGGAGGCAGGAACTTTAATTATAACTTACATTTCAAATTCACATTCTCAAAAATAAACATTCTTGTTTTAGTACGTGAAGCTAGGATGAGTTTTAATTTAAGGTTGTAATTTGTTTTACATAATGTGCTATTTTCCACAGAGATGTTCTTTAGAAGAGCTTATCACATGTGCATTTTACATGAGGTACTCTAAAGGCCTGTTCGTGGAGTTGATAAAATCTCGGATGGAGGGTAGAAAGCACGCATACGTTTTCTGTTGACACTCTCTGTGCAACTCAGTTGTGGCAGGAAACGTTTTATTACTTTGTTATATTCAGTCATTTCAGTTCAGTTTGTTGTGGAAGAAAACAAGTTGGCTTCGGGAAGTTAGGAACCCTTTGTTCGGGTAGGATTTTAAAATAAAGTAATAACTGTTGTCTTTCCCAGCTCTGTGACTGGTTGCGTGTTAATGAAAGCTGTTTTGGACGACCCTCAACTTGTGGCTCCCTTGGACTTCAGGAGACGTGCTCTTTAAACGCTTACGTCAAGAGCCTCGTTCAAGAGTATATTACGTCACCTGCTTGGGAAAGTAAGTCTGAGATCACTTTTCTGGATTGGTATAACCAAAGGGTTTTCGAAGAACTTTATCTAGTTTTCAGATCAAGATATGGGCTTTACCGAATGGAATGGAAAGAGAGAAGGACGGAGGGACTAGGCCTGCAGAGATGGGCTGCTCATATTTCAGTGTGTGTAACACAAGCTGTGTCACCTCGGCCGCGCTCTGTTATAATGAGTGTCGGTGAGACACACTCACTGAGCCGTTGTTTCTGAAGCCTCCTCTTTGGCAGGTTCTGTTAATGCTTTGCAAACCCGCCTGTCCTTCCTGAAGCAGGAGAAAACGGCCGGATGCCGGACTGGGCGGAAGCCAAGCTGGTTGCTCTGATGGTCTTACTGGCTGTGGACGTGGAAGGAAGGAAGGTCCAACATAGGTAAGCGTGTCTCAGCTTGAAAACAGCTTCCCCAGAAAAGGCTGCTCAGGTGTGTGGGGCGCATTCAGCCTTGTCCTCGACCGGCCTGAACTGACCACAGGGCAGGAAAGGAAGGGCCTGGGGCACGGGGAGCACGTTAATTATAAGTTAACAATAGATTAATAGTACGAAAGGCTCTCAGGTTGGTAACTTAGAGAAGGTTAGACAAACTACAGTAATCCCGGGTTTTATGTAAGAATGTTAGAAGAATGGTTTGTAAGATCCTAGGATAAGATTAGGTGAAGAAATGGTCTATTTAATTCCTTGGTAAATGTGTAATTTTAAAAAAAGGAATAAAGATAAAACAGTCTCATATTTTGAGGATGTGAGCAGATCAGTTCTCTCAGATGATAATTGTTGCAAAAAGCAGCTTCCTGGGGCCGTGTATTGCATGATATGCACTTTGGTTACATCAACTCTCTTTTCTAGACAGTTTTAGTGCTAGTTGGTTATAACAGTTTTTCAGAGATCTTTAACACACACACACACACACACACACACAGCCTGGTGCACGGGATTCATGCACTGGTGGGGGCGTGACCTGCGGGGATCATCCCGCTGTGGGAGTGGCGCTCATCCAGGTCAGCCGAGCAGCTGTGGATCTGCCCTCTGAGCAGCTGCTCCCTGGTCCGGCATCTTCCGTGGAGCCGGAGCACTTGCCTCTCCAGGGGACCCGGTTGGGGTCAGGCCCAGGGACAATAGCACTGAGAGGTGGCGGAGTAGGCCCAGTCCCTCTGCAAGCCTGGGGCGGCCTGCAGGAGTCCAGAGGAGGCAGCAGAGAGAGTCTGGGGTGAGGAGACAACGATCACAGCCTGGGTTCCTGCCCGTAGGCCTGGGGTTCGCAGCAGGAGCAGTTGCTCATCCTGGTCATCTGAGCAGTGCTCCCACTGTGGTAGCGCACTGACCACCAGGGGGCAGCTCCTGCATTGAGCTTCTGCTCCCTGGTGGTCAGTGCGCATCATAGCGACTGGTAGACCAGTCGTTCTGGTCATTCCGCCGTTCGGTCACTGGGCTTATATAGGATACACACACACACACTATATATGTATATGTATATGTATATGTATATGTATATGTATATGTATACCTATATCTTTAACGTGTCTCATCTCCTCGCCTTGACTAGCATTTGTGTTTTTGATTGGGAGGCAGGGCCTCGGCATTTTACTTTGCAGATAGAACTGTGCTTCCTACTTGTGCCCGGAGCGAGCACATTGGTTCTTCCTGAACTTTCCCCCTGGTGCCTCGCTGCCCTCCCGGGAAGGACAGACCCGGGCTCCGTTAGCAGGTCGGGGAGAGGTCAGTCCAGAGGCGCTGGTGTTGGGCTCGCCACAGGGGTGGCTCTGCCCCACAGTCCATCAGCTCCACAAACGACAGGGAGATCGTTTCTTTATGCTTTTGAAATTCTTGATGTTTCTCAATGTCCAGTGAGAGGCAGAGGACACAGAACGTGCTGAGGCTGTTCCTAGAGCCCCTCCTGGACGCCCTCGCCAAGTTGGGTTCGAACGCCTACCTGCCCCTGCGGAAGACGGACAGGTGCCTGCAGGCGCTGGTGACGCTGCTGCGCACGTGCTCGCCGAAGGGCGCCGGCGCCCGCGATGGTGAGGCCGCTCTCTGAGCTCGCTCGGTACCTTGTTGGTGTTTAGAATAAGCGGAGATCCTGACCTGGTCCCTCCTACGGGGCGGGTGCGGCAAGGGGCCAAGCTTCCCCCGGGGCTGACACTGTGGTGTTGACATCTGCTGGGTACTATTGACTTTAGAATGGGATTCATTTGCTTCTGTTTTTAAAAAAATTTGTCTATTCCTTGATTTTTAGATCCTTGACAAGGATCCCTATTTTATATGTTAAAGCAAGATCCATTTCCAATTGCCTCTAGGCTGGGTGCTGCAGCAAGTAAGCTAAACCATGAGAATGGCAGCAATTTTATATTCATTTTTTAAGTATGTTCATCTCTGAGCGCCTTTAAGCAGAAAATCCTTCCTATAGAAAGTATCACAGTAGCAGATGGAAGCCTTGAGCTCTTACTTCCGTCCTTAGACCACGATGTGTGCGCATCAGCGGGAAGCCGTGGGCACTAGCGAGGAGCATGTGAGCGTAAGCCTGGCTTCCCAGTCCTTTCCGACCACTTTTGTTTGGATTGAAGAAATTTAAAGTTTTAAAAATTCTAGAGAAACATTGGTTTTAGGTAAAACCTGAGGATAATGTCGACGAGGTTAGTTTTAATATATGCTTATGGGATAGGAGAGCTCGGTTCAGAGTTCTGGTATTTTGGGTGATGGCAGCAGAGCCGAATGCCGCCTGTCGGGGCCGGAACCCCCAGAGGGCTTCCAGGGTCAGTTCCAGGCTCCCCATGGTGAGGTGACTGTTACATTTTTAGAATCCGCTTTTGGTCAGTGGCTCACCCACGTGCTTACCGTAGTTGTACTTTACTAGACTGTGGTGTATTTTGTACCAAACAGCTGATCTCTGCCATTTAGTTACACACTTTTCCCCACACAGATGAGGTGTCTCCTCTCCTTCAGGACTTTGTCGTGTCCGCCACAGAGAGCATCTCCAGCTTCCTGCTCAGGAGACTCACTATGAACGAACTGAGCAGCGTGAGTACTCATTGGGGTGACTCTCATCCTTCTTGTTTTATGTTAGTTTTTATTGATTTTAGAGAGACGGAGGGAGGGAGAGAAACACCGTGCAGCTCCCTCCTGCTCACACCCCGCCTGGGAGGTGCTGGGTGTTAGGATCATCCACAGAGTGGTTCTGTCTCATCGCGTCCATTAGTTCCACAATGACAGCCTGGGCATGTGCCCTGACCCAGCGTCGAACCTGCCTCTCAGGTGTTCGCAGCGGCCCCATCGGCTCTCCAGGAGCTTCCCCAGGCCGCCTCTCACCACATGCACTGTCACCCACCAGCTGCTAGAACCCCAGCACTTCCCGCACCGGCAAAGTGCCTGCATGAGTGGTGCTCAGTGAGACCCGATTAGGTTACTGAAGCCTCTGCTTCCTCCGTGCCAGAGAAGGCCTCGCAGGGCACAGTGATAACTACGGCCTAATCATTGCCATGCGGTGCCGTCCGTTCAGCATGCTCTCAGTCTCTCAAAATCCCTGGGGTGGGCACACGTGACCCTCCCCACTGTGTGGACAGGAGCTCGGGCCTCAGGAGCTGCTGGAGGTCACAGAGCAGGCGGGAGGTGAAACGGGACTGAGCCCTGTTCTGCCAGGTCCATGACCCACGGTTCATTCCGGCCCCTCCCTCTCGGGCTCGGAGAGGCCGGGTGAGCTGCTTCGCTTCCCGGAACAGCCGTCAGTGGTGGTTGGTGAGGTGGCCGCGCAGCAGGCGGGTCCCTGTGGGCTCTCCGAGAAGGAGGCCTGGCTGCGTGGGGACAGCGTGGAAGGCCCCTGGGGAATGGCCTTTCTCAGCATGTGTGTGAGTGCTTCACACACACCACTTCCTGTCTGACCTCGTCATGTTGTGACAGTCGTGGGCCCTACTGGTTGATGTGTTACTGTCTGTCGTAGGTCGCAGACCTGGATCGCTGCCACCTGTACCTGCAGGTCTTCGCTGAGCTGGCGGGCCTCCCTGGGAAGCGGGGGGAGCGAGGCAGCCCCGTCCTGAGAATCATTGCTCCTTTGAGGAACGCATCCATCCGGCACCTGCAGGACACGGACAGTGGGCTGGTAATCTTGTAGTTCTGTGGGGAAGGCTTACGTGGAATACAGGTTGATCCTAAAATGCATCTGCTGAAACTCGACTTTAAAATCATTCCCTTTGTCTGTAGTATTTGAGGAGGATAGGGTTCCCCTCTTGTCAGGTGCCTAGGAAAGTGGCGACGGCAGTCTTCACACCACTCAGCTCCGGGGGGGCCCTTGCTCATGCACAGGAAGGCACTGTGTCCGCGAGCTGCAGCCCGGCTTTCTCTCCTCGCCGCCTCCCTCTGCCGCGGACTCCAGGCCGCCAGGTGGCGTTCACAGGCCACAGGCGCATGTCCCTGCCGTCTGTCCGTCCCTGAGAGAGCCCTCCCTCAGTGCACACCTGTCAGCAGCCTTTATGGCCCAACTCGGACCACATTTTCCCAGAGGCCTTCTTGGTCAGTGCCTCACCCTCGCCTTCATTCCTGGTGCTCCTCATGCCTCATTGTGGTGTTCATTTCATCCACTTGCTTTTGGGGTGATTGATGTCTGTCTCCACCAGGTCTCATACCTGGAAGCATTCCTTAAACATGAGAATAAGGCGGAGTGGGTACGAGCACAGGCCTTGGAGTGTAGACTTTCTGGGCGTGAATCCTGGCTTTATCCCTGCTGCTGTGTGCCCTTGGGGAAATCACTTAACGTCTCTGTGCCTCAGACACCGCAGTTGCTGGACGTCTTCGTTTCCTCCTCCTGCTCCTCCGTGTAGAGTTCCAATTGTCTCACATGAAACACCCCACTCGCTAGTGTCCCAGGAGCCCTGGAAGTGGGTTCTGCAACTGCTCCCTGTGGGGGGGGGGGCACTCGGGGTAGCACGTCCACAGCCGCCCTGGTCCCAGCATGGACAGCTGTGCCGTGTCACCCCCAAAGGCAGCACACAGCTGATTGAGGAAGATGCTTACATAGGGGCCTGGAGCCTTTCTTATGACACTTCAGTCTGAGTTCAAATACAACTCGCCCATCAGGCTGTTGGTCCAGGTGTGTCATGAGCAGGAGACGGCCGAGGTCCTAACCTACACACAGGTGCGGGGTCTATTGTGTGCTGCTCCCGGGACCCCCTGCCAGATGGCGCGCTAGCTGTCTTCTCGCCTGCCCCGCCGGGCTTCACTGCTACTGAATTTGTTCGCTGCCAGTCTGTGGACTAGTGTGAACCCGCATGGCGGGCACTGGGTTCCCTTTTGTGCCCTCTGATGCTCAGGAGCAGGAGGAGGGGGGATCGCCGAGGTCGGGCAGCCTGGGTCCTGCCCGGCCAGGACGCTCCTGGTGAGTGACGGGCACCGTTTCCTGCTCAGGTGCCGACGCTCGGGAGGCAGGTGCAGAGGGCGGTCAGCATGGCTGCCTTGGCCGCGGTGTGTGAGGCCCTCGACCAGACGCCGGAGCTGCAGCTGGACCCTCCAGATGCTGGGCCCACGGAGCAGCTCCTCGCCGCCCTCCCGCTCAATCAGAGGCTGCAGAAGCCGCAGCCGGAGGAGCAGAGCAGGTGTGTCCCCTCGGAGGGCAGTGTGTCCTCGAGGCGTCCTGCTGCTCGTGTGGGAAACACATGCTTGTTCCAGGGCATCGCCCACCCGACGCTGGGCGGGTTTCAGGAACTCGGAGCGGAGGCTCCGTTCAGGGCGGTCTCATGTCCCACATAGTTCATCTCCGTTACGGACACCCATGAACTTTCTGCATTTAGTTTCCAGTGAGTCATGACGTGGGGGAATGCCTATCTTTACAGAAGTTAGAAGTCGAGGTTCATGTGTTTCCTGTGTTTCGGTAACAGGATACCTAGTAGCGACTTAACGGAGCTGAGCCAGACTTAAGGAAGGACAGCAGTGACTCGACTTTCTGTTTCAGTCTTCTGGAAGAATCGTCGTCTTCCCCAGGCTGGGGCCGAATCGCTGCGCAGTACATCCACGACCAGTGGGCCTGCCTCGCCTTCCTGCTGAAGAAGCACCGCGCCCTTCCCCCCACCTCAGAGGGCGCGCTCCTGGACCCCGTGCTGCCCGCCCTTCAGACGCCAGCTCGGACTCTGCAGGCTGCGCTCGCCGCCCTTACGGTCCTCCCCACCGATCGCGTTTTGCCTGTGTTTCGCTGCATGAAACTGCTGGTTCCCCAGGTAGAGACAGTGAGCCATGGCTTAGGGAATGACTGTAGGCTGATACCGTTCCTGAACTTACGTGGTGGTTATGTATTTCTTTTTCTTTCCCTACCAGCTTCTGGCCTCCTCTGAGTCAGTCTGCATAGAGGCCTTTGACATGGCTTGGAAAATTATATCGACTCTAAGCAACACTCAGCTGGTGTTCTGGTCCAACTTAAAAGCTTTTGTTCAGTTTGTTTTTGATACCAAAGTTCTTAGCATTGCTGCAAAAACCAAGGGCCAGGCATATTTCAAAATAAAAGAGGTAACTTTCTTTTAATTGGGGTAAAAAAATACATAAAACTTCCCGTCTTAACCCTGAATATATGACCTGCCGGCCCCGCTCCGCTCAGCCCTTTCCTGGCCCCGCACACACCGTGGGGCCCCAGGTCTTCGCTAACTCGGGAAGGGAGGCCACTGACAAAATGCAGAGAAGCCGAAACTGTTCGGGGGGAGGTATTTTTCCCTCTTCCTCTGTGGATGGTGCTTCTTGTGGAAAGTTCTAAGTGAATTCACCACCAGTGACATCTTGTAGTTACTGAGAAATGAAAATGCGTAGTCTGATTGCTGAGCATCTTGCAAAATTTTAATGATAAAGAATTTTTAATTTTTTGGACTATTCATGCTTATGTGGGAACTACCATTTGAAGCCATTCCCAGTTTCTAGCAACAGTAATTTTTTGGAAACAAAACAAAACAACTAACTTGGTCAAAGGGTACAATGACCATTGTTTTTCATTCCAGATTATGCACCAGATGATTGAAATGTCGGCTGTAAAAACCGGAGTCTTCAATACACTGATAACTCACTGCTGCCGATCGTGGGTAGTTCCTGCTCCAGAGGTGCCCCAGGGGTCTTTGTCAAATGCTGCGGATTACAGCGAGCTGCTCCTGGAGGCGTGTGTGTTTGGAACTGTGTTCAGGCGGGATCAGAGGTAAAGTGTCATTATTTCAGCCTGTCCTCGCTTACATTAAGTACCTACATAGGTAGACTTGTTTTTATTTTGAGGCTTTCAATGAACAGAATACAAAGTTTTAGTTCATTTAAATTTGGGGCCTTAATTTTTTTTTTTTTCTGTTCTTTATCAAATGTTTTTTTATGGGAAGACTCATTCAGGACATACAGACCTTTATTGAAAATCTTGGACATGATTGTGCGGCAAATGTTGTTATTGAAAAGTAAGTATGAGGACTTCTCACATCTTGTCATGAATGGGATATTCACAATTTAACATCATATGAGAAGCATTCTGTGTTTGTTAAATTTTTTAAAATATATTTTTATTGATTTCAGAGAGGACAGGAGAGGGAGAGAGAGGTAGAAGAATCAGTGATGAGAATCACTGATGGGCTGCCTCCTGCAGGCTCCCCACTGGAGATGAGCCCACAACCCAGGCATATACCCTGACTGGGAATCAAATTGTGACCCCTGGTTCATAGTTCAACGCTCAACCACTGAGCCACCCCGGCTGGGCAACAATTTCACTTGTTTTATCTTCCCACATTCGGATACTGAAAGTGCTGGGATGTAGTTTGCCCTTCACGTAGAGAACACGCTGGTGTAGGACGGAGGAGCCATGGCGGCATTGGAGGCGGAGTCTTGCCCGAGTGGACAGAGCTGTGCATGGTCCTCACTCAGGAATAGCTCCATGAGCTCTGCCTGTTTTGTCCACAGATGAGATATTGCTGGCCCAGGGCCGCTGTGCATGTGGTTTCCATGTGCTTGTGCTGACTTCCTGCACAGGCACTCAGTGACCCATTCATTCGTTACCTTCCACTGACCATCCTGAGTTACAGACCACTGTCCTTAAGTGTGGACCCACGTAGTTTTAGAGAACTTGGGAAGGTCTTGACATTTGCTATGGTATCTTGAAGCTAATTGAGGTATTTTTATGTTTTGAACATGTATTAACACAGACTATCATCTCATACTTTTAGTACCAAAAGAGAGGACCACTATGTCAGAGTTTGTGCTGTCAAATTCCTGTGCTTGTTAGATGACTCCAATGTGTCCCATAAGGCGTTTATGGAAGACCTTGCCATCAAGCTGTTAGAGAAAGTAAATGTGTTTGGTTTTTGTTACTTTAAAGCATCTTTGTTTTTGTATAGTTAACAAGTCAAAATCCAGTATTTGCTCTTTTTGTTGACAAAATGTTTCTAAATATTTTTATCAAAAAACCCGAGATTTATGTTCCTTCCATATTTCTAGTTAAATCTCAGTGATTGTCCAACTCAAGGTTGCTTTTGAGAACAATGTTTCCTGTACTCTAACCTTCTCTCCGTGTGTTTTCCGGTACCAGTCAAAACCAGTTACATTTAGTGTGATGTATCCGTCCATTGTTTTTATGTAAGAAATAGAGTAAAAAGCTAAAAATTTAGAAACTGCCATAATGCGAAGAATTTCCTTTTTGAATCTGCACAATTATTTATAATGAGCATCGCACTGTCTGCAGGAGGGACTGTGCAGGTATTGGTGCCTTGAGAACCATGTCCAGTATCTGTCTCTCCTCACCCCCGGCCCCAAGTCTCCCCCTTCACCAGCCACAACGGAGCAAGGAGCTTCTCAAAGACTGTGCTGGACAATGACATAGCTCCTTCCTAGTTTCTTTTTTTTTTTTTAAGGGGAGAATGATGATTTTTATTTTTAAGAGAGGAAGGGAGATGCCGAAACCGGTTTGGCTCAGTGGATAGAGCGTCGGCCTGC